TTGGTGAGTTTTGGACTCTATCAAAGCCCAACAACTATAGCTAATAGTCTATTATTAAGTTGGTTACTTAACTTGGTGGACCAATTTCTTCTCATTTTTTTTAAAAAAAAAAAACTTAGTTGGTCCAACTTAAAAACCAAATGATTAATCCAATTAAAAAGTCAAGAAACCCTCAATCCTCTTTCTCCTCACAAAAATCTTTACCTTCACAAGTCATTCTCCAATTTCCACTTATCTTCTTTTCTTTCCCCTCTTCTGTCTTTTCTTTTACATTATTGATAGTGAATACGATGATGAAGTTGAGCTCGATAAATAAGGAAGCACATTTGTTTTCCCTTTGCTCTTCTATCTTTTTTTTTTTTCATATTCATGATTTTTCTACTTATCTTGTATTTCAATTTTTTTATTTTGAAGTTAATTTTACAAATCTCATCAGATTTCTTATTGAGTTGGAAAAGTGAAACTTTTCTTTGTTTAATTTAAAATATTGGATAGATTTGTTCATAATTTTATCGATTCTTTATTATTTTTTTTTTAGGAAATACTCTTTCTTTTATTTGGTGGATGAATTAGACAGTACTATTTCAGTAAATCTTCTCTGCAAGATATTACGAAGTTTAGGGTTTTGTGTTGATTTTACATATTTTATGCTTATTTGTTATTTTTCATTTTCAAGCAATAACCTAAATAAAAACTCAACAAATCAAGATTGAATCAGTTGAATCTTGACCCAACCACTTTACCAGTTCAACCACCTATCCAAGTTTCAAAGCATTGCATTTCTCCCCATCTCTATCCTTCTTTCCCATGTCACTGTAGACTCCGTCCTTGATCCCATCCCTCATAGCCAATACACATCTTCCTATTTAAGCCCATCTTTCCTTAGCGAGGCAAAACTCATAACCCGGAACAAAAGGGCTTTCAAGCTGTATGCACAAATTTCGTTGCCTAAAATAAAAGACAAGAAAACTTGCACCAATATCAAATTTATTAAATCAAATAATAAATGGGTTACAATTTCTGAAAGTTTTTAAATCAAAGAAATTAATTTCCTGATTCTTCTCTTCGAATGGCTTCAATTGAAGGGTCGAAGAGGCTTGTTCTCCAATCAAAAGAGTATTTCCTACAACCTTAACGTAGAAAAAAATGAATGATTTGATGATGGCGTCAAATACTTGAAACTTTAAATCTTCAACACCAATAGCAGGAGGATTTGTTGGACTTGATTTGCACTTGGATTTGAGAGAGAAAGCCCTTGAGAGAATTTGACAAAGTTTCTCCGAAATTTTGGAATTTTCTTCTATATCTAATATCTTGAGAGAAGACCTTTATTTATAGCCAAAATATGTAGATTAAATCTTCAAGAAAACCCTCAAAACCTTCCTGCATTTTTGGATTATTTGTCCCTCAAGAATTCCATTTAATATGGGCTTAAATAGTGGGTCAATCTAAATAGTCCGTTGTGAACTAATAAATTAATTAATTCACTCCAATTTAAAAGGCATTACAAATTTAATTTGATTCAATAGCCCAAATAATATTGGCCCAATTTACCAGTCCAAAAGATAATGGACTTCTATAATTTAATTTAATTTAATCAAGATTAATTTAATTTAAATAAATCTTGACTAAAATAAATTACATAAATTTTCTTTGTCTACAAATGTCCCCACTTCAAGACTTGGTAAGGCATCGCCAAAGACGAGGCTTGAAGTTTTAATCTTGATTTGTTAGACCTTTCCACTAATGAGATCCGTCAAAACCATGATTTTGTGAAATACTTGGTCCATGCAAAAAGAACCGAAACTTTGGCTTTTTTTTTGGAACGATAGTTGTTTTTATAGATTTCTAAACACTTTACAATTTCAACTAAAGACTTGAAAGGACTTTGCAGACAGTGCATATTAGCACTGAGGAATCTAAAATTCCTCATCTTGAACAATATCTAACTCATAAGCGCTAATCCTGTTACTAATATGGTTAAGATCCCTACTAACTAAACAAAAGGAGCACATGCAAAACAAAGACTGTAGACTTTGTATGTCCTCTAATAATGTGGTCAGTCACATGTCATGAGATTTCCTGAGCTGAATGAGGTTGAGAGATTGTTTGTTATAACTTTGGATTTCAATCTTCTCCCAATTCTGCACCACTGCTTTGCTCATCAGTAGTTTGATAGCTGCTAACTCATCAATGAGCTTATGCCCAGTGCTTCTTTCCTGTAAGGCCCATCCTCTTACTGGGTCTTTGGTGTCTGTTGAGACAGTTACACCAATCCCCATTTGAGGGTTGTTGTTGCTCTTGTCTGTGGCATACCTTAATTTCATAATTCCTTCAACCTCCTGCTGTTGCTGAGGGCTGTCCATTTGAACTCTTGTTTCTCCTATGCTCATTCTTGTAGCCTTTACTATAGCCTCCTCATATTCCAGCCATTCCTCCTGAGCTTTTTGCATTGTTTTCAGTGGCGGGTGTTAGTTTCCACAGAATTCCTTCTCGTTTTTGCTTTTCCAAATTTGCCACAGAATGTTGGCAGTTAGAGAGATATGCTTGTTGCCCTCACTTCTAGATCTTGCCTCCATCATAGTAGCCCACCACTTGCTGAAGCATCCCTGCTGGTCTAGGATTCCTTCCCATTGTACTGGAGCTATCTTCCACACTTGCTTGACATGGCTGCAGTTGAGCAGCGCATGTTCTATCGTCTCCCTTTCCTCTCCATAGAGTGTACATGTTGGATCATCTTGTTTGGTCCTATTGTGGATGAGTTACCTTACTGGTAACGCCTGGTTTAGTCATTTCCATAGAAAGATCTTCACTTTGTGCTTGACTTCGAGTTTCCAAAGGTGTTTCCAGTTCCTTAGAGTTTGTTTGCTCTAGCTTGTACTGGCTTCCCTTTTGGGCACACGATTGTGTTCCAATTCTCCTTCTGTTTGTGCCTTATAAGCTGAGCTAACCAAGTAATTACCATCTATGCTGAAGGTCCAAAAGTTTCTATCCTCTCTATCGACCAAGCTTATCGGGTTGCTAAGGATTCTTTCCGCCTCCTTGGTGTTGAAAATTCTGAAGACCAGTTGCCTATTCCACCTCCTTTGTTTTATCAGTTCTTCTACCTTGTCCAGATTGCATCCTTGTGGCTTATGTGTGGTTACCTTTCCTTGGTGATTCTCTGGGATCCATCTATCCTCCTAGATCTTTGTACTCTTTCCATTCCCAACTCTTCTCCTACTTCCTTTCTCTATCAATTGCCTCGCCCCCATCAGGCCCTTCCATAACCAGGAAGCATTTCCTGGTACTTTGCACTTGAAGAGAGATTCCTTAGCATAATATTTGTCCTTAAGCACTTTACTCACTAGTAAATTTGGTTGTGTGAATAACCTCCAAACTTGCTTACCAAGAAGCGCAGTATTGAATGCCTCCAAATCCTTAAATCCCAATCCTCCTGCTTGTCTATCCAGAGACATTTTGCTCCATGAACTCCAGTGCATTGTATTCTTCCCATTTGCCTCCCCCTACCAGTAGTTTGCCATTATGGAGTTAATTCCTCTGCATAGTTTTTTGGGTAGCTTAAAGCATGACATTGTGTATATTGGCATTGCCAATACAACAGATTTGAGCATCACCTCCTGTCCTGCAGCACTTAACAGTTTGTTCTTCCACTTCTTTAGTCTCTGATAGATACTGTCCGAAATATACCCAAACAATTGTTGCTTGGATCTAGTGACCACCATTGGGAGTCCCAAATATTTGCCTTGACTGACCATCTGAATATTTCCCAGTGCTTGACATACTTCCATCTTTTCCTCCTGCTCCATGTTCTTGCTGAAAATGACTAAAGGTTTCTCTAAGTTGATTAATTGGCCAGTTCCTCTTTCATATACCTTCAACAGTCGCCTAAGTTCTGTTGTATTCTGAGAGTCTGCTTTACAAAAGATCAAGGAGTCATCTGGCAAAAATAGATGAGTTACTCTGAGGCCCTGTCTGCTGATCTTCATTCCTACGATTTCTTGTCCAGCAGCTGCCTTCTTGAGTAAGTTGGAGAATCCTTCTGAGCATAAGAGGAATAGATAAGGTGATAAAGGATCACCCTGTCTAATTCCTCTCTGGGGTATCACATATTCTCTGACTTCTCCATTGATATTGAAGGAATAAGAGGTTGTCGAAAGGCACTCCATAATCCAGCTCCTCCACTTGTCATTGAATCCCATTTTCTGCATTACAACTTCCAAGAACCTCCATTCAACTCTGTCATAAGCTTTTGACATATCTAACTTCACAGCCATAAACCCATCTTTCCCTAACCTTTTATTTTTGAGATAATGCAAGAACTCATGGGAAATCATGATGCTGTCAAGGATTTGTCTTCCAGGTATAAAGGCTGACTAGTTTTTACTTATGCAACAAGGGAGCACCTGTTTTAGTCTATTGGCAAGGACCTTAACTATTATTTTATACATAGTCGTGCACAAACTTATGGGCCTATAGTGCTTAAGAGAAGTGGGGTTCAAGACTTTGGGGATGAGAGAGATGATTGTATGGTTTACTGCTTTGGTAAGATGGCTGGTGTGGAAGAAGGTTTGGATAGCACTGACCAGGTCCTTCTTAACTATATTCCAGAATTTTTGATAAAAGATGGGTGGCATACCATCTATACCTAGGGCCTTTTCAGGATGCATAGAGAATAGAGCAGACCTGATTTCCTCTTCATTTACAGATTTTGTTAGACACTCATTCATACTACCTGAGATTCTGTGTGGTATACCATTCAGGACTTCCTCCATGTCCCTTGCTACTGAGGTTTTGAACAGCTCTCTATAGTACTGGGCGATCTCAGCACTCAATTCCTCATCACACTTAGTCCATGTTCCGTCCTCCCTCTATATGTCCACAATCCTATTCCTTCTCCGTCTCCCTTAAACACTGGCATGGAAGAATTTGGTGTTTTTGTCTCCCTCTTTGAGCCATTGCACTCTTGCTTTTTGGCTCCAGTAAACCTCTTCATCTCTCTAGGCTTCTTTCAACTTATTCTTCAAGCATTTTCTCTTGTTTTTGATGTCCTCTACCCCACTCGCTCCCAGCTCCAGCAATTGTTTTTTTGCTCTTTCAATGTTTACTTTCGAGTTACCTTGTATCCTATTCTTCCAAGTCAGCAGTGCTATCCTACATCTTTTAACCTTCGTTGTTAGCTTGAACATTCTTGTGCCCTCCACTTCTTGGTCCCAACCCTGCTTTACCACATCATTAATCTCTTCCCTTTGGAGCCATCTTTTGTCAAAGTAGAACCTTTTTTTCCTCCTGTTGGGACCTGGCTTAGTATCAAATAGTAGCATACTATGATCTGAGGCAAAGGAGTCAAGATGTTTACATGTAGCTCGTTCAAAGGTTTGCATCCAAGGATAACTACTTAATCCTCTATCCAGCCTTTGTTTTATTTCCCCATCCCCATCCCAGTTATTACACCATGTCCAGGGGTGACCCTTATATCCCACGTCCATCATTTGATTGTCGTTGATGAAATCCCTGAAAGCCTTGAGACTACCTTCCTCCCTCCAGTTGCCTCCCCATTTTTCCTCATTCGATACAATATCATTGAAGTCGCCTGCTAATAGCTATCCCCCCAGAGGCTTTTCCTGGCTTGAATCACTTTCCATTGCTGTTTCCTAACTTGGGCATCACAACTAGCATAGACCCTTATAAACCACCAATCTATCCTATTTTCCTTATCCTCAATCTGAGCTTCAATTGTAAATGCAATCTTGAACACCTGCTTGATCCTAGTCTCCTCTTTCCAGAATAAAGCCATCCCTCCTGCCTTGTCCATGGCGTCCACTATGGCTGTTTCATCAAAGTTCAGAATATTTTTCACTTTTTCTAAATACTTACTCTTGTTCTTAGTTTCACACAGGTACACTAAATCTGGAGAGGAGAGGTTGTTCACCTCTCTCAACTGGGGAATTGTCAAGGGGCTCCCCACTTTTTGATAATTTCACGCCAGGACTCTTATTTATCTATTGGCCATAAAGGGTTGGAAACCTCCCCCTCCTCCACTGCTTTTAGTAAGTTACCAACCTTTTCCACCTTACTTCTTTTCCCAACTTGCAGATTCTCCTCATCTATCTCCATATCCAGCTCCCCTCGAGTCTCTTTCCTTCTTTCCGCTTTTCTTTCCTTGACTACATTGGTGTTTAGCTCTTTCGGTGGTTGGCTTTGTTTCCTTGGGGACCCCAATACTCTCAGTATTCTTTTGGTCTATTTCACCAGGGCCTCTCGCAATTTTGGACCCTCTTCAGTTTCCATGTTCACTGATTCTACTGCTGTTGCCCCTTCCTTTTTCAGTCCAAGAGGCTTGGACATCCATGGTCCCATGCTCTTCCTCCATCTTCTATATTTCAGGACCTTCCTCTCCTGTGTTCTTAAGTACAACCTAAAGTACCCCTCCTCATTTCTGCTTGAGTCAATGTGATCCTGGTCCTCCTTTCTGAACTCCTTCTAGTTGTGCCTTTCCACTTTATCTGAGTCAACTTTACTCTCTGAGCCTTTTCCTGAGTGTTTAATTGCTTCCTGCCTATGATCTTCCCATAGTTCATTCTATATACTAGGTCCTTTTTTCAACACCCTATGCTCAAAATCATGTTCCTTATTGTTGACATTTGTCTCTGGTGCTTGACCATCTAATGTCTTGTTTAGTATATCCGGGCTTCTATGCTCTTCCCATTCCCTATCTTGGAAACTCCAGAGGTGTCTTTGGGGGTTGAACACCACACTTGAACATTTGTGAACCAAATTGATTCATGTATAGAGTCTCACAATGCAGTTGAACATTTGTGAACCAAATTGATTCATGTATAGAGTCATAATGCCGTGGCTTCATTTGCTCAATTAAACTTTTAAGAAGTCATGAGACCACTTTTCTCTTGATTGACAATTGATTCCAAGAGAATTAGAAACATACCACTTTCAATCATTTCCATTTTTTTCATGATGCATCAATTCGGCAGGTACCAAATTGAGCACTTGCAATGAATTGGTAATTGCTAAAACCAATTCTACCAAGTTGAACACTTTGGAAATGAAGGAAAAAAAAAACAGAAGTAATGCTCCACTTTCTAAGATCACTCAAATGTTGTTGTAACCGACAATGCTTTGAAATAAGGAATGGAAACATCCAATTGGGTATCACTGCAACAAGTTGGCAATTGCTAAAATAAACAACTGGACACTTCCAACTCTCAGAACCAAATTTGCCATGTCACAATGCCTGATCCTTGCAACTCCCAAATGAACTTTGATTTCCTTTTTTTATTACACGGTTTGAGCTTTATAAAGGAGACAAATTAGTTCTCAACCTTCATTATGCTAAACTCGTTGAATTCCAAGGAAAGAAGGAACAAACCAAACATAAGTAGGTAACAACTAGATTCCAATCTTCCTAACAACTTGGCGTTAAATGCCCTTGATTTCAAAAGAGATTGTCAAGTTACTTGCATGTTACGTGACTTTATCAAATTCCTTTGGTGATTATTGTTGGACATGACGTTGCTCATCATAAGATTGTATGAAAGCTCTTGCTTTTATTAAGAATCAAGTCTTTCCCGAACCGTGAATGTTCTCGAAATTTGCATGGTATGATCCTGCATTCTGGTTGTTTATCAAATTGGGTCAATGAATCACTTTACAATAGCATAGCCACCTTTATTCATGATTTCTAGAGGTCCAAAAAAAATTTTTATGTGACAAACCTTACTAGACTCATCAATTTGAACATAATAAAACCCACGTCACTGCATATTCACATTGTTTTCACCAACGCCATTGGGTAAGACTACTTGCCAGATGGTTTCTTCATGGCATTATTTGGTTAATAATTGACCCAATTCTAAGACCGCTCAAGCTTTATTTGTTGTTTTACATGCAAAACATCTTTCCTCGTTTCAAACCATAATATGTAGAACCACGCCAAGTCCACGGTCCCCTTTTGTTTTATCACAATTCCATGCCGATTTAATTGGTAGCTAACATGAAGTGCCTCCCAACACATGTCATGCATCAAAACTTTCTTTCGAATGCTCCCTTCTTATGAAATAAAGCAAATTTTATTGCTAAGACTTTTTTTCTCTTCAAGTTGCACCTTGTATTGATATCTCTCATTCAAGGCAAATTGATATCCTCTCCTCTTTTATATATATATATATATTGCAAACAAAGCTACATCTTCACCTCAATCGTGGTCGCGATTCTACAATCGAGGATTTCATCACTTGGAGTACTTAGGTAATTCACCTGCTTCATGGCTTTTACTTCTTGTCGATGCCAATTTCTCCTTTTTTTTTTGCACAATGTGAAAGGAAGATCCCTTGTCACAAACATAGATGGTGGATACTCAATTTGAAGAAGGTGCAACCGCAAACTCTCACGAGAGCCATATTATGACTTGAGGAGTACATAAAGGAGGTGCGACCAAGACTTGAAGAAGGCGCAACCGCAAACTCCCACGAGAATCATATTATGGCTTGAGGAGTACATAAAGAAGGCTCAAATATCCACCTTAATAAGAGCTTGTCAAAGCTCTAGATTTATTTATCTTATAATAACGATTTAGTACTCCACTTACTGTCTTCGATCACGCCATTGTGACCATTTTTTTTATTGCAGGTTAGTCCTGACGAAATGACAATATTCAAGGAAGTTACAATTTCAAACGAAAGATACCTCCTTATTGCCAACAGTCATGATGACTCTAGTGACAAAGGAACGAAATTATTGGTGCATCCTCTTATACAAGGAACTTACTCCGATAAATGGCCTTCTCACCAGTACCCAGAATTAAAGGATTGGTTACTCGAACTTTCTCAAGATGATGGCACGAAAGTTTACTCCTTGAAATCACTTATTCATAATAAGGAGCCAAGGACAGTTCTCTTTCAAACCCTTGGCAGGCGAATCATAGACGGAGACGCACACTGGGGTCGTTCCTTGAGATTTAGTGGTGCATTTAGTTATATCGAGAATTACTAGGAATGGTTGGAGGATATTCTCGGAAGGAGCAAACAAGTGCTCCATGAAAATCACTTGTTCGATGCCTTATATGCTTCGCTTTTCACATACGATAGGAATTCTCATGTACTTAGGGCATTTTGCGAGGCATGGGATCTGGACACTAATACCTTGCATACATCTACCGGAGAATTGTCTCTCTCACTTTGAAATTTGGACAAATTAGGAGGACTTCCAATCATCGAGGATATCTATAAAGAGGTAATCCCATGCGCAGAGGAGCTAACTGGAGTTAATGAAAAGAAATTAAGACATATTCCACAAAGTTGTGAATATTTGTTTGCGGCCTTGCATCACCTTCAACATGAAGAATCCAACAAAACTAGAGTTTCTACTAACCAATGGATTACCTTTTCTTTAAAGGTAAAACGAGATATTCAAAACCAAAACAAAGAAAGATAAAGAGGGCCTTTTGTGCTCAACCGACCCAAAATCTGGATGGAGAAATTGGACAACCCCGCAAGTTTTCAAATCAAGACAATGGCGTATTTGATACCATCAGAGTTAAATCTCACTTGCGAGAAGAGATCAATCTTGTAGTATTTATATCTTGTTGGCTCTGCGTCTTTGCTTTACCAAATGAGGATTTCTATTATATTAGACCATCTACTTTCAAAATGGCTAGTATGATGGCTGTCGGTCGTAAGACTTGCTTTGATGTTCCTGTCTTGCTAAATATCTACTGTGAACTCAATAAAATTTCAAATTCATCTATCCCAGGGTGTATGCGTGCGATTTTTTCGATGCACTATGTATATGTTTGGCTAGCGAGTTACTTCTCTACCCATTATTTAACTCCAAATACCATACTCGGACCAATAATAACCAATTATTCTAGAAAGAGTGGCGCACGATATTTTAATGAAAACAATGCTCGCGACCTCATTCATGAGGGAGACAAAGCAACTTGGGGGACAACTTCTCTTGTGAAGAATCAAAATGAACTTTTTGTTGATAATGACAAGTTAGTGAATCCAGAACTAAGTTATTTTGTCAGTGTCTGCTCAAATTACTTAGTTTTACATGCTGAAGGAGATTTCCATTTTGCTCCATATAATCCATATAGATTTACGCAACAATTCGGGTTTTATCAAGTTCCCCTATAGGAACTTGGACCAGATGTTCGTTCAACAAATTATGACTTGAGTCGAATAGTTTGGCGCACTACTATTCGCAATAAAACGGAATCAAAGGTGATTTTTTCTATCTATCCCTTGAATGCTAGCAAGCATACATCTTTAAGTTTTCAAATATGGTGGTCTATGGTACATGATGACCTTCTCCTTAAAAAGTGTGATGCTTTGATTAAGAGTATCCAATCAAATGGTGAACAGAAGAAATTAAAAGGAAAAGAGCTTACACACCTGAATAATCCTTCCAAAGTTGGCAATAATCTTGAAATGAAGCAAAAAACTCTGAGATGCGAGGAGAAAATTTTGAA